GAGCTGTTGTCCTGTTTGGTCTGTTTCTGCTCCTCCATGTTGTCACAGACACTACCAGTGGAAGGTATGCGCGGGACTCAGTCTAGTATTCATGTCTATCGTTGGGACCAAAGGAACAAGATCACAGAAATGGGTTTTCTCCACAGGGTAGCTGGACTCTCCCTTAGAGATAGGATGAGAAGTTCAGTTCTCCAGGAGAGACTCAGAGTAGAGCTGCTGATCCTTCACATCAAGATCCAGTCGAGGTGGTTCATCTGGTAAAGCTGTGCTACATTTACACCATATTCCCAGAACTGGTAAATGGTAGTGATGTCATTTCCCACCAAACATAAAAATGCATTCCAGTTAGCCGACAGGCGATTGTAATGTGGCTGCTAACTTAGCTACAAAACTGCTACAATATAAACAATAACAAAAAGAGAGCTCTGCTACGTAAGTCATGCAAATAAACATTGATTTAATACGTACAGTGTTGCACTTAACTAATTCTAATGAAACTTTCAAAAAGTTACTATTGTCTGCACGTCTACATCTGATWACCTATGGGCCCGTTCTGATTCATTATCAGTTCAACAAACAGAAGGACTCTTCAAATGTTCTTCAGGAACTTTTCTAGTTTTATTATAGGATACTTGGATATAACAATTGTTAAAGGGATCCACGATTAGTAGTAACATTAGACTTTATTTGATAAACATATATTTTAACTGTAAAAATACTGGAGGTTGTTTAGTTTAGTCATTTTTTTAAAATATATTTTAACTCTAACAGAGCCATTTTATTTACACGCAAAGAATACTGGGTAAATGATGACGTCGACCACCAATGACCTAGTTGACATCATCATTTACCCAGAATGCTTTGAGTATAAATAAAGTGGATCATTCTGTGTAATATACAGCAGGTAAAATAAGTATTGAACACGTCACAATTTTTCTAAGTAAATATATTACTAGAGGTGCTAATGACATGAAATTTTCACCAGATGTCAGTAACAACCCAAGTGATCCATACATACAAAGAAATCAAACCATAAATGTCCAGAAATGAAGTTATTTGTAATAATGTGGAATGGCACAGGGAAAAAGTATTGAACGGGAGGTGTAAAAAGGCATGGAAAGCCAAGACACCAGCTGAACTCTCTCAGTAATTAGAAAGAAGCCTGCCCCTTGTC